CCTCTAGACCTACTAGTACTACTGAGTACTAGTAGTAGATCTACTAGGCTCTAGTCTAGACTAGTCGTCTAGAGCTCTTTCACTTTTCAGTCTTTGTGTTGTAGATCTACATCAGTCATGTACATGTACGTATCACGCTTTTCCATAGGACCTGTCGTCAAGGTTCCTTTGTGCAGTGGACCAGGCAGACGGTAAGTGTAAATGAATGATGCAATGGATGTAGAATCTACATCATGGACATGACGGATCACACATGCGCGTGACGCGGAACGGTGGCTCGATGTCGATTGCCTGTACCATGTGTAGAGATATGTACCGGTACGTAACCATGGTAACTGCGTAGCAAGGGGGTATAGAAATCTACGCTATCGACTAGTATACAGTGATAGTATTGTCCGACCGTGCATTTCCTTGATCTGCACAGAAAGACTCCAGACTGTAGTCTCTAGTAGTACTAATAGTATGTACCGGTATGTATCTTTGGTACATGGCTTGGTGGTTTGCTGTCATAGTGTCAAGAATGTGGAGAAAAAAGTACCCCGCGATCACACGTTGATCACAGTGCAAACAAATAATTATTCCTGGTGATTCCTTCCGGACAGAGCAAGGCGTACTACATCCATATGGCCATGTACAGTGATGTACATGCCAGAGCACGAAGCAGAAGCAGTCGCGAAGCAGAAGCAGTCGCGAAGCAGAAGCAGCAGAGTACGGTCATTCACGCACGAGTGCTCGCTCGCGCTCGTGCCACGCTGCCGAATAGACCGATCCCCTTATTATACTGGGTTCGAGCACGGGGGCAACCTCACTCGCGATCGAGCTAGTTTTTGAACGTGACAGCATCTTTGACAGTGTGTTTCAGGTTTGTTTTGGAATGTCTTCTGCTTAGTTCAAGCAGTTTGCGATGGCTTCGAGCGGTGCTAAACCTCCTGCTGGTAGGAGCAGAGTCTCCGAGAGAGACATGGACTGTGATGCCGCTGCAGGATTTTTCAAGGCGCGGGAGGGAACGATCTCGGGCCACAAACAGGAGTTACTCCAGAGCCAGGAGAGGTGAGTTTTTTGTTGTTGAAATATTCGAATCGCGAATCGTGTTGTGAGATTTATTTTGTGCCTAGGCTACAGCAGACCATATTTCTTTCTCCTTGCGATCGGTGCTGAAGATAATAGTGACCTTTTTCTGGTCTGTCTTTTCCTCTCCAGAGCGATCTTCTATGAAGGTAACCGTGGTGCTGCCAAGTCACCAAGTCGCGATCAGCAGCCCTGAAGTGGAAACATCGATTTTCCAACGATCTGGGTGGACATCAGCCACTAAAGTACTTCTGATTTGCCTGTAGTGACAACAGCAGCCATCCTTGGACACCTTGCAAAGACAGGAAAAGCCACTGGTGGAAGCGACTGCTATGAGGTGACGATAGCAGTGCAGTGGTGATCGCTGTTTTGTCAAGTCGAAGGGCTAGCCTACCCAGAGGAAGCATAAAAAAAACGATGAGCAGTGCGTGGTATTTGTTGAGCGTGAAGAGCTAGAGGAGGACAGTGCAAACACATGGACGGAGTGGATGGTGTTTGAAGAACAGTGTGCTGTGTGCCGGCTGGTGGTGATGGTGGTCTTTGTCAGCATGTATTCGTGCTGCTTCTTGTGCTGGAACACTTCTCGCCCAGGAAGGCAGATTGCATGCTCCCTGGCCCTCAGTTGGCTATGGGTCATTTGTTCCAGGAACATACCCCAGAGCCAATGATGAGTCGTACCTTTGAAAAGTCGAAGCTTGCTGTTAATCGCAAGCGTAGCGCAGTGGATTGCCCCCTCTTCGAAGCACGAGGGCCAAAGCTTGCCGCTGTCTGCAGCAAAGTGTGTGTGCGGTTCTTTCGAACCTATGAATATACCCCCACTGCATGTTCAGAGTGAACTATTTTCTAGTATATTTAACATCTTCAACCCGCCACCACCATGCGCTCTTGGCCGAACTAATGCACGAAGCATAAACACACCAGCACAGCAAGGACACGTCCGTTGACAGATATTGTTTACGCCTCTAGACCGCTGTTTCTTTTCTTCGAGCTCATCGTTAGAGGAGGATAGTGGCAGGATACTAATGATGATAATAATAATAATAATATGATAGACGGTTTATGGTCCGATATTGATGATTGAAGATCTAAGAAAGCAATGACAGTGATTGCGAAATGGATAATATTATCATGATTATAAATTATGCCAGTCTGGTAATGCGTTGTACTAGTGGACAGTATTGAAATCATCACTGCATTCGATGCAAATATTGGTATACCTTTGGTTTCAGTATTGGAAAAAAAGAGTAAGAGAACCTGGTTGATTTGGTTGCATCTGCGACTGGCTACCGGGTGTTGTGATCAGCAATGTTACCATGGGAGAAAATAAGAGCGCAAGGATCTGTTGGGTCTTGTTGTGCCGGTGCGAGAACCCTAAGTGCATGGCAAAATAGAACTGTTTCATCCACAATGCAGAATGTCTTGCGGTACATGGCATTGATGACAGAACATCTCGCCAGCTCGCCCAAATGGGGATCATGCCCAAACGGAGGAACAAGACATCTTTCCAGCTCAGCTAGCTATATAGTATATACCGTGAAACGGATGATTAACTTGTGCCACGCATGACAGCTTCTGTTCCATTCGGCCCAGGCTTAGACACATCAATGCCAATAGCAGCTGATCCTCCATTACATGCTCATTGGCGATTTACGGCCACCTCAAACTGTATCCGCCGTCCCTCAGCTTCCGTCTTCGCAGATCTGGCTTGCGCAGTACATTTTCTTGGCTAGGCTCAAAGAAGTCCCACAGAGCGGTCCAAACACTTGAAGGTAAACCAGTCAGAAACTGGAGCGGCTCAGAGTCTTTCTTTATGTTATTGTACGTAAGCTGTTTTTCGGCTTTCTTCACCCCATCGTCCAACTGCTCCACGAGACTCTGTACACGAGCTCTACTTGCTGCCAACTCCTGATGCAGATGCTGCACTTCCATTACAGGACCAAACTGCACTAAGCCAGGTTCCTTTCCAACTCAAAATGCCGTTGCCTCTCAGCAAAATACTGGTTTGCGAGCATGGGGAGCTCGTGATGCAGACGCTGCACTTCCATGACTGAACTGCACTAGGCTCAGCAAATACTGTTTTGCGAGCATGGGTGCAGAGCGTCCAGACTCCACTCTCTTGCGAAAAGCAAACCTGGTACCGCAGGACAGCTGTTTGGTTTCCTGGACTCATCCTGCCCTTGTAGAGCTGGGCAAAACGATTTCGACTTCGGGATCGAAATGATCGCTGCAACTCAAATATTCAGAGTGACCCTAAAACTACGTCCTTCCTCACGGGGAATAGCCTGGATCCGCTTGCTCCAGGCCGCTGTGGCTCCACACGAGGAAAGGAGTGAAATGACTTGTTTGCTTCGTCCTCCTGTTCTGACAGTGAGGAACGCAGCAATGATCCTGAGAAGGCATCCTGAAGTCGTAAAAAGGAAGACGTCTAAACAAAAACAAAACAGCTCAAATCAAAAGTCCTTGTGGCATTTTTTGTAGACAGTCTTGCACTGCGTGTAGATTTCGCGTGCTCTGCACTTCGCGTGCGAGAAGTCACACACAGCCGAGGTGAGGTTGGTCGCGTGTGTGCAGCAGGATCCCACGCGACTGCGGAGTTGCCCCCTTGCTCGAACCCAGACAATAATAAGGGGATCGGTCTATTCTGGATCCTGGTTTGAGCTGGAGAAAGCGCAGACTCTTTTACACCTGTCCACGTCCTGGAGCTGTACTCGCGGCCAAGAGGTCACCATGGTCACAGTTGGTAGGGATCTCAGCGCGTGCACTGCGCATGCAGTTCGCGCATGCAGCCAAACGCGCATCAGAAGTGGCATGCAGAATTTTTGCCAAACACTGGCTATTTTTTGCAGAAAATTGAGATCTTGAAGTTGAACGAAGGAGAAATGGCTGAAATTTCCTTGCAAGGAGATGGTGGTTACAGGCTACCTGCTTACCAGAATGGGATCTTGTTTGGTTTGTTGGCCGCCCATGTGTTCTGGAATCGATTTGTAGCTTTCGTTGGAAGGCGCGAAGCCGTTTTCGTTCCAAACAACAGGGTTCTTTCAGAGCGGAAAATGGCGACCATGCCGATCGTTGCCACGAGTTGAAAATCTCTGGATTTAACCGGGGAAAATCTCTGGATTCAATGGTAAACCCGGCAGAAATACTTGATGTTGGGTGTTGACAGCTTGCAGGAAATTACGAAGCGATCATGCTCCACGTGACAGTGTTCGTTCTTGTGAATTTCTGCATATCTGACATATCGCCGTGCATATGGGCCGTTGTTCCAGAGACATCGATTGTCAGGAGGCTGTCCACACCACAGGTGTGGACAGGGTTTTGTTCGAGTAGTCGTGTGGAGACGTGGTTTGGTTCTCACAGGCAACAGGAGCGGCTCCTCGGGATGGCGAAAGCCAAATCTACCCAAAGGCTTGGTAATCATCTAGTTTAGGGTGCCAAATTATTTCGCACTTTCCCAGTGTTCTGTGTACTTTCTATGTACTCCCCCCCCCCCCCCCGCCGACTTCACGATCGCCGATCTTCTGGCGGCGCATTTTCACTTATGCTCTGCAACAAGCGTCACAAACTGTGGAAATCGTCAGATGATATCAGCCTATCAGTGTGCCCAGAACTTCTAATGACTCTACTAAAGCATTAGCTTGAGTAATCTTTCTTTCTAGCCCTCTCTTTCGCTCTCTCTCTCTCTCTGTCCCTCTCTTTCTCTCTAAAAATGTTCCACACTTCAAAATCTAGGTCGAGCTGAATCGGGGAGTCGTCAAATACCGACTCACTGAGCCGGTTTTTGGCGATCGCCATTTTTTTCAGTCTGCCATCGCCGCGTTGAAAAATCGACTACATCATTGAATGCGCAAAGCCCTGCGCAGTGTCCGCGCTGACAATGACATCCCTACAGTTGGCGCTGGCTGCACTGCCGTTTCCAAGCTTTGCCAACCTCC